TGTTTGACCTTGTTTTCGCAATTTGGTCATATTGGTAGGAAGACTTAGATTAACGTACTCAGTCCGGAATTCATTGTATGCTTAATAATTTTCAGTCGGACCGTAGACGTGATACATTTCCAGACGCTTCGCCGGCATCGTCAGTCTTACCAGTCTTAGCACCACACAACTCGTCAAAGAGACAAGTGAAGCCGATTATGTACTAAACAGTTGTGATACCTCTCCTTCCTGAGCTATTCACCAATCCTATATCCTCGTATCACGCCTTCACTGTCACATTTTTTTCCTTGTCTATTCAAATGTAATGTGGTGTGCCCTTTTGAGTGGCCGTCATGAGAACCCTCCACACTCCACGCTGACGTTCTCATCCCCCTTCACCCTTGTGCTGGGAATGTGGATCAGATTCTGCCATATTGTTACACAGTCCTTTTCCCTAGGTCTTATCAGAGTCTCCCTCTTGCCCCGTAGCATCCGTCTGCTATCCCCCTGGTTCAAGTATTTCACTCCCCCTCTGTGTTCTACGAGGCGTTATTTCCCTCACTCTGCGTCTGCTAGACTAAATTGAGGCTAATGAGCCCGAGTAATTGTCATGGTCAAGCCTTTACTTCACGAACCACGCCTAAAGCAGGCCTACTGTCAGCTCTACTCGTCGCAGCGTCTATCCTGTCTCTAACCCTAATACCAAGTCTATGACTTGCCATGCCCTAGTCTCTTGTGTGCCAACACACAAATGTTGTGGTACTGCTTGTTTGATTAGGTTCAATGTTGAACCACAACGTTTGTGTGTTGGCCCATAAGAGATTAGGACATGGAAAGTCATATACTTGGTATTAGGGATAGAAACAGGATAGACGCGGCGCCGATTTGAGCTGACAGTAGGTTTTATAAGAGACGTGGTCCATGTGGCAAAGCCTTGACCACGAAACTTACTCAGAGGCTTTAGCCTCGAATTAGCCACCCAGACGCAAGGGATGGGTATTAACGCCTCGAGTAGCACAGATGGGGTAACAGAGGTCAAGTGAAATACTTGAACCACGGGGCAAGATAAGACCTAGGGAAGGACTGCGTAACAATGGGGAAGACTCTGATCAACATTCCCAGCACAAGGGTGAAGGGGGGTGAGAACGCAATTGTGGAGTGTGGAGGGATCTCATGACAGCCACCCAAAAGGGCACACCATACAACATTTAA